GCATATATAGATAACCACACATGCTATATCTCATACTGCTTAAGAAAGCTACGAGGTCTTCTTCGTATGTGCCGCCGTCGTTTCTGTAGCCCATGCCTAGAAAAGCCCTTTTGTTCCGACGCTGCATACCTGCCTGTACGCCTAGATTCTGGCCACCCTCTATGACAGTCTATGCTCTCTTATTAAAGCAATGTAAGATTACGGTGAATTACCAATTTATTACTTCTTGGCATTTTGTAACTTACTAGAAATTAATTGTACTTGAACAAGCCTACAAACCCCAATGTCTGCGCAATCAAATCTGTGAAGTATCCATTCTGCCAGGTGTTCATAAATAGCTATTTGAAGTATAAGCATTTTCATTGCCTCCTAAATCTCTCACTGACAAATAGCAGAGCTGCACTTTATAAATGTGTATGAAACTGTTTAATTAGATTAAGAATCTGCGCACCCGATCGATCTATATAACACTCACAGAATACGATTATAATGATTAGTGTCAGTATTGCCTGATTTTTAAGCGAGGAACAGGCCGTGCATGAATGAGAAAATTGCACATTCAGCATGCTTGCTGCAACTACCTAGTTTGTTGACCTAATAAGTAATGTCAGCGGTGCACAAAAACGGATAGTCCGGTAGTCAAAAATGAAAGTGTCAATGACACTGTAGCTTCACCACAAAAAAGGACACAAATGAGTGAGTAGACAGAAGTCAGTTTTTAATGAGCAACATCGACTTACATGTAATAGAAACGATTGCCATCTGTGGGGATAATTCAGCTCTTGGGATCAAAATTCTGCCGGTGCCCATTGAAGATTTTGTGTAATTAATAATTTTATTTGCAACTAAAATCATATCTAATTGCTGTATACATTTTTTCTGTAATTTATGGGAAGATATAAAAGAAGATAAAAACAAATTGGCGTGCATTTCAACAGTTTTTTAAGAAATACATTTTTCTCCAGTAAATGGTCGGCATTTTGACAACCTGTATCTTTGACATCATGGAAACTGGGATAAAACCAATATATTTTAAAAGATAGAACACTCTCTTGGGTTTATCTGCCATCCGTTTTATGGAGAATATGATTTTATTTCCTAATCAATTGCTGCTAATCACGTTTGGATGGTGCCCTCAAAGCAAATTCT